TATAAGTTAATTAAGAAAAGCTCAACACCAGTTAAAGTTTAACCATGATCATAACAACAATAGCACATTCAATTACTAATCAATGGATCAAACGTGGTCCACCCTTAACATCATATTCTAAAAGATGACCAAATTTGCTCCACGTTTTTCATGAAAGCATATGATCAGAAACTCCCTAAGCCTTCTTAATTCACCCATTCAGTTAGCTATGACTTTGAGATCATTATCAAGCCATTGTTATGCTTCATTGTGCCCTAGCTAGCTAGTTTCATCTCCATCGTTACAATATATATGATCAAATCACTTGCAATTATTCAAGTGGATAGGGCTAGCTGATCGAACCTGACGACTTAAAATTAATTATGGAGCTTGCCAAACACCTCCACCTCCATCAGTAACGTATGACAAGCACGACAATGGAACCAGGCACAATCCTCGACTTCTTAGATCTCTTTTTGCCTCTTCGTTTCCATCCTCCATTGAAACCTGATCATTACATGCATATACCATTGTAATTTGTGTTAGTTTTTTATATAGTCATATATATTCCCAGTTAAATGTTAGTTTGTAATCTTTGTTATCATAAGTAACGAACATATACAAAATATTAAGCCAATATATGGAATACAATATATCAGTTTAAATTTTTAGTTCTTTTTTGGCCTAACATATTTCGTTTAAAAGAATCCTGTATGTAATAAATCAAACAAATGCAATATCTTACCCCTGATGTCGGTAATCTGTTGGACTTTTGTGTTGACTTCATGTATGGCACGCTTAACGTCTGCAAATTATCACTTATATTTAGACGTAAAGAACTCATGGTAATTCAAGTATAACTAATTAAACACATATTTTTTTACTCAATATTAATCAAAAGTTACAAAAAAAATCGAGAACCACACATATATAAAGTAGCGATATTCCGTTTCAAATCAAAACATTATCATGTTTTCTCAAATACGAACATATTCAAACTCCTCCGTTAATTCCTCATTTGTGTCTCAACATATATAGAGATTAATTGACAAGACCATGAC